ATCAGGTTGGCTTTATTAAGGTGACACATCAAAAAAAATATTTGTTTTAGTCAAAAATGTCCCCACTGAGGTTGTGTCGTTCCTTATCGCAGATTATGACTGCTTGCTTCTGGCGCTGCACTCTGGCGATTATAAAGGGGCAAATCGGAACTAATAGTGCGAGCTGGGGTAAGCTGTAACGAATCGTAACGAATCTTGCAGACTTCATCTTTAGTTTGAAACTTGTTTGTGTTTTTTTTTGTTAGTAGGAAATAGCTATATCAGGGGTGGCAAAAAAGCGACCTTTGCCGTTGGGCACATCATCGAACTTTGCGTGCAGAGGTTGCCGGCCAACTATGTAATTGAAGAGTTTTACGGGTGATATTCCTAGGTAGGTTCCAGTACGAGCAGGCCCTCCTTCACTGTCCCCTCCGTCTTTAGAATATGACGTCATCTGCCGCCACCGTCGAGCTCAACGAGGCTTACCGTAATCGCTCCGGCCTGAAGCTGCTTCATAATTTCTTCAATAGATTAACTGCTGAATAGCTTCCTAGAGACATTAGCTGTGACTATGCAAAACCGCTTTTGACCAGCATTTCATGGACGTCGTAATGGTCTATGGTACCTCGTCGACCCCATTGAGCTTGGAAAATCTAATGATGTCGTGATGGTTAGAGTATCATGATATGTGGGTGATGAAGGATAGAGGTACTCTCCTATGGTTAGCATCGATTTGATTTTTGAGTGTGATATGTGGTCTGAAGTGTGGAGTCAAGTGTGCTCTTTTTTGGCCACCCTTGTAGTAGCGTTGACGCTACAGAACGTGGCTTCGGACTTATCGGGCGTATCATGCGCCGATAGTGGTTGGGTATCCATACGACGATCCACACCTCTTTGACCTCTATGGTCTATGGACTCTCACAAGACAATGTGGTCCATAAGCTGATTCCTGTCCGAGTAGATGTCTAATTTCCTGAGTGACAGTGTTTCAGCCAATCTGAATTTTGTTCCATTCCAAATTAGGCGATATTGGTATACCAGCATTCTTCCCACGGTCAAAACTGACCCTTCACGCATAGGAATCCTCCGTTTACTTTTATAGTACCTGTCATAAACGATACTTATTGCTGGTGATAAATGTGTTTTCCACAAGCCGAGTCATTTCTGCTAGGTTCTAGGTTTTGGAAAAAGAAGGGAATGCTGGTAAGGATGGCGTGGGGAACTTCATGCCTAAGAATTTTTGGCGTACCTTTTGAACTCAGTCCGTAAATGCACACTTATTGCTAAATTTGAAAATTTTCGTTGATTTTGAACTTTTCTTCGGGAAAACACTCCTAAAAAGTGTGGCGCAGGGAAACCATCCAATTTTCGTTCTTTGCTCGACGCACTATCGATTCCCCCCAGCGAAGTAGGAGTATCGACCACTCAAACCAACCATCATCTCTGGTTTCAAACCGTTCTCTTGCTTTCTTTGTTTGATCGTTTTTCTTTTTTTTCACTACATTTTGAATTTCCTTCTTGGGGTGGAGGGGGAGATTAAACGCCCTATATAATATATTTTTTGATTTATCATTACAGAAAATTTACAATTCTGCTTGTTAATCGGTGCTCAAACCTTGACAAACTCTGTTGTGATTGAAATGCAATCGGTTTTGAAAGGGTCCATTCGAGTGGTCCCATTGACCTTCATGAGGATGCGCCATGCTTTTCACATTCGTGCAGGTTCGTAGAAGATTGTCTGAGTTATATTGTTTATGAAACTGCTTCAACTAGTCTTCCTGCTTTGATTGAACCTTTTACCCGCTTCCTGTGTATGTATTCGAGTGGTAGCTGGGAGATTGTGTCCATTTCTGGCTAACTGCACTCTGGTGGTATTTCGGAGATGGTTCAAAGATTTTCACTACGGATTCCCGTTGAACAGTAAAATTTATTTCTGTTCCTCGTTGGCGCTTCGCGACCGCTCGCGTCTGGTATATCATCCCTCATTTCTCGAATTCCAACGGTTTTCCTTGATAACATCTGAATGCATTCGCTGCCCTAATCTGGCTACTCTGCCGTATAAATGCTAGCCTATATTGTGATCGCCATACCTTTTAGACGTTTTCTTCTTATTCACTTATAATTGAGTGACTTAGCCATGTATTTACATTTATGATTTCCAGCTTTCCGCATGCCGGGTTCCGGCTTCGCTTTTCTCAACCAATTCATTTCCTATCTCTGAGTTTTACTTAGGTTGTGCTTATCTGATCTTCGACCTGCACGTTCAAGGTTTTTCGTGACTTTATAGCTACTCGTCCCGTCTTTTCGCTGACCTTTTCACCCAGGTTTTTCCAACGAAATCAGTTGGCACGTTTTCGTACGTAAACTCACGCTGAGTACCAGTTTCAAGAACTTCTAGAACTTTTCCCTTATCACTTCTTAACAGTGAGTCAGACTTCATTTCTAGTTCCGTTATCATCAGCGGTGGGTCTCTTTGCTTTTTCCGGCATGCTAGTTTTTGGTCAAGTTATTCTTAAAGATAACTTGGTTGACGTTAGTGTACTTAGAGGAGGGGCATCGCAATCAGGGTCAACCGCCCGTTGCGCAAAGAACAACGAGGGGTCGTATTTGGCCGAACGAAAGGGGAGGGGTCGTATACACAGGGACCCGCGGTGAAATGCATTGAGAAAATAGGATTCCATGTAACAGTACAACGCAACTACAATATTATCACCGTCTCCAGGGGAGTGGAGAACCTTATATGCCTTAGCTACCTCTATCAACTATACAGGCCGCACGCGTACCACCGGCCAGGGTTCACTTCGTAAACGCCTTATCTGGCATGCGCGTGTTAAGCAGACAAACTTTTTTCAGTAGAGTCTGATGTCTTCAGACAAATTGAATGGAGAAGTAGGAACTTGCGTTTTATTGATTCATAGGGACCTTCTTAGAATTTGTGACGGGTAGAGAGCTTTCCAGTGGAATATTGTGTATTACGTTGTAGATGCGCTCTCTTTCAATGTTAGACTTTTCGGCGCTCATGTCTTTGGGGGTAACATTGAACAGGCATTCTAATATGAAACCTGACTGCGGGAGGTGCACGATCGACTAGCCGTTAGGACGGGATAAAACAAGTAGAGAACAATGGTGGCCCACATTCTTTCCCTTCCCTGAAGGCCAGTTCCTTATGTTTTTTTATCAGTTGCCCACCCACTCCGATGTTCCCCACTATGACAATGTACGCGTGCCGACTTTTCATATATTTTTTTACCGCTTCGAGTAGGTTTATACGGTCGAAAGAAGGGAATATACCAGATTTTTGAGGCTCGTGATATAACAGGATCGCGATATAGGATCGGCAGCTTAGCATTGGCGGACATCATTTTATTTTTTTGTGATGGGCGGAAGTTTGCAAGCGGGCGTAAGCACTCAGTCCATTTTTGCGGCGGTTCGGGACCCAGTCCGCCTTAAAGCAGGTGGGATTGACGTCTTTCTTTATGTGATTGCTGAAGTTTGTGCTTCTGAAGACAGTTACGTGGAGGTAGGGGCGTACCAACACATCACTTCCATAACCTCGGATGCATGGTTACGTCATACTTCACAACGGGAGAACGCATCATGCTGGTAGTTTGGAAACAGTGCGGTTTAGTAGGCCTTCAGGAAGTACTATTACTATTCGCCGCCTGGCCTGAGCTATTGACGTCCACACGGGTAGATGGTGTGGTAGCTGGCTTGACGTTGGAGTCAGCTGCACACAGACTTCTTGGTTACACTGCTGGCCGGAGCCAGCTAATGGCTGGCACTCGAAAAAACTCGTTCGACACGAGACTTCCTACTGATTCATGCTCTCTTCACTGCTGTTTAGATGAGCGATGTTACTATTTTCAGGCACTTCTCGAACGGTTTCTCTTTGTTTTTCTTACCTAGTCGTTTCAATTTCGATCTCTCACTCAGTTTATGCAGGCCGCTATAGTGAGCCCGGACTATCTGCCTTGAGTAAATAAATTGAAGCATTTGATCATAGTGGTTGTGGTACGAGGTATTGGGATTTTGCTGTTGTTGGATGATCGGTCCTGTAACGATAGATTGCCCGATGGTATTCGTGAAAAAAATAAGGGCCGGGCAATTATTTGAAGTTTTCGAAACCGATGATATCTTCAGGGGAATCAAGTCCTACAGGTCTTTTATACGAGGATTCGTTTCCAACGCGTAGTTTCATATTGCCCCCGTCGTCATTGCTGGTCATTCGTCGTGCAGAAACTGATCAATGACCGTCATGGCACAGATTTTATCACAACTGAAAACGGATCTTTGCTGCCTTGCTCGCCGTTTCCTTCTCCGTCACTTCATTCTTTTTCGGTGTATTTTACGGCAACTCCACATTTTTTATTTAGTGGAAACCGTACTTTAAACTATTTCGTGCATTGATCGGTGCTATACAAGTAGGGTGGGCACGCCGCATTTTTTGAACAGAAATGTATGTAAGTGGGACTGCTGCCCGCTACTATACTGTCACGAGAATCGGGGAATTCGTGAGCCAGGGGAGTGTAGCCAATCTAGGGGGTGGGGGTGAGGGCAGTCACTTGACATGCGTGAAAAGCTGGGCGTGCCCACCCACTTGTATAGAGCCCATTGATCTAATATGCTTCACACTTTTTGGTCTAACAATTTCCATAAGGCACAGTGGCCGATAAAAAAAAGTAGGAGAAAATCGATCAAGTTGAAGATTAGTTCGATCGCTCGATCAAAGCTTGCAGTATTCTTATTGTTCACTACTCACATCCTCTAGCAGTACAGCGTAAGTACTGATGCATCATCAGTACTTACGCTGTACTGCGCCACGCATCTTCAATTTCATCCCCATCACTGGAGAATTACTGCTGCCTCTAGTCATAGATCCACCCCCACCCCTCCTCATCGCTCATTCACAGCTCGTTCTACTCGTCTCCTCTGTCTTTCCCTTTGTTAGCTGCACTGACTTCTTTTCGCAGTGTACTATGCTGGGTAAGCCATGTGAAATATTCTAAGGGAATATTTCAGAAATGCCAGCACCTACATTCAAGTTATCATCTGGTTATGAAATGCCCATGGTCGGTTTGGGCACATGGCAAAGCAAGCCCGGCGAGGTCTGTTTCTAAGCGGTGATTGACGCTTAGCGGTTTTACAGCTGAAATATTTTATTAGGTAGGTAAAGCGGTCGAAGTGGCACTGAACGCCGGCTACACTCTCATCGATTGCGCATGGGTTTATGGTAACCAGGTGGAAATTGGAGAAACCCTCAAGAAGTTGTTCTCTACTACGCATAAGGTGAGCGATTTCCTCTTCATTATCTCTTTCAGTCTAATTACAGTAAATTTTAGTCCTAAGCTCCCTAAAACCTCAAACCATTTAAAGTGGCTCCAAAAGCAGACTCAAGGGCGCTACCATGTAAGGATAGGGCATGATAAGCTGGGCCACTACCCACTGTAATGGCGAGCTATGTTTTCAAGAACAATACAGGGTCAACCACCCGTCTGGCACCGTATGGCCGAGCCAGGTGGGGGTCGTATTCGCGGTTTCGGGAGAATTGTTGTATTTGCGACTGGCAAAGGATAAGTAATTTTGAGGGAGTCACATTTGTGGA